TAATTTAGCAGTATTGTAATTGTTAGAATATTATCAATTTGAAAAATAGACAGTGTCAGTTGTACGTCAATACAACAGCAACCCAACGAAAAACATAATCACAAGATATCCAGAAGCCAACATAGTCTTCCACAATGGACAGGTTCAATAAACAATATAATTATGTCAAGCTCTTCGGAGTCTATTAAAATTTGATAAACAAGTTTTTATCCTGCCAAACTGACTTTAAATAAAGCTAATACTAACAATGAACACTGCCCTTTCCTGGATCTTGATATCTATTTCTTTAATAGGAAGCTTAATATCAAAATTAATGATAAAAGAGATGATTTTTCCTTTCCTATTGTTAATTATCCATTTTTAGATGGTGACGTTCCCTTGTCACCATCTTATGGTGTTTATATATCTCAACTTGTTCGATTCGCTCGTGTATGTAACAACGTATTTGATTTCAACGAAAGAAATCTCTGTATTACTGAAAAATTATTACACCAGGGTTTTCGATATCACAAACTAGTCAAAACATTTACTAAATTTTATCATCGGTACAAGGACATCATTCGTAAATATAAATCAACATGCAGACATCTTATACGTTCAAGTATTTCACATCCAATATTTTATGGTAATATTCTTTACAAAGCACAAAAATGTCGGCATTCACCTCAAAAGCTAGCCAAACCTTTAAACAGACTTATTCGGAAGGGATATAGTTACGATACTGTTGTCAGGTCATTAAGGATTGCATATTTTGGTATTAATATTGATTCACTCATAGGGTCTTTGCATCGGAAATAAACACATTTATTCTAAAACCAGTTGTTGGCATGATACGGGTAATGTTCTTCTCATATATTTTATGATGGTATGATACTAAACCCCTAACGGGAGGGATTATACCTGATTTTCATATGATGAAGACATAATCTTTCAATCAGTTTAATTGAGGTCTGGAGCTGGCATGTCAGTAACTGCTAGTTGTCCTTTGTTAATTTGTGTATCATTGTCATTTTGATTAGTTTCTTTTGTTACCTATTCTGACATCGGACTCGGACTTCTTTTTAACTGAGTTTTACTGTACGTATTGCTATGTGTTTCTTTATTCTACATTGGCTAGAGGTATAGGGGGAGGGTTGAGATCTCACAAAACATGTTTACCCCCGCCACATTTTTGCGCCTGTCCCAAGTCAGGAGCCTCTGGCCTTTGTTAGTCTTGTATGTTTTTTAAATTTTAGTTCCTTTGTATGTTTTGGAGTTTAGTGTGACGTCCATTTTCACTGAACCAGTACACATTTTTATTTAAGGGCCAGCTGAGGACCACCTCCGGGTGCGTGATTTTCTCGCTGCGTTGAAGACCCATTGGTGGCCTTCGGCTGTTATCAATCTGCTCTTTGGTCGGGTTGTTGTCTCTTTGACATATTCCCCATTTCCATTCTCAATTTTATTATTTAACTTGAATATTTGAAATACATTTATTCGTTTTAATACTTTTTTGTAAAAAAAGGTAATGCAAAATACTAAAAGCTAAGGTTTTTATGGTCATTTTCAATGTAACAAATGCAAAGGTTTAGAATGCATTATATTTATTAGCGCCATACATCCCTATAAATATCATGATATGGTCCGATAAAACAATTAATTTGTAGTGCATTTCTAAAGAACAATAACTGCGAATTTAAAAAATCCCAAAGAAAGAAGCCCAAGTTACACCCTTATATAAAAAGAACGATCCATAACTTCAATCAAATTACGGACCAGTCAGTGTTTTTCCTATTTTTCAAAGTTATCCGAAAAGTTATTTGAAATGCAGTTACAATAGAGAATGGAAACGGGGAATGTGTCAAAGAGACAATAACCCGACCAAAGAGCAAAAAGCAGCCCAAGGCCAACAAAGGATCTTCAACGCAGCGAGAAAATCCCGCACCCGGAGGCGGGCTTCAGCTGGCAACTTTACAATAATGTATACTAGTTCAGCGAAATGGAAGCCACACTATACGCCGAAACAAACAAATGAACCAAAATTTAAAAATACAAAAGACTGGCGTAAAGACTGAGACAAAATTATTTATACAGCTGAAGTTCTCATGGATTTATCGAAAGCTTTCGACTGTTTACCACATGATGTTTTATTGGATAACTTATTAGTATATGGCGTTTCTCCACATACAGTATCTTTGTTAAAATTATTTCTTTCTGGCATAACCCAGCAAATTAAAGTAAACAGTGCTTGAAATTAAACACACTGACTAAATATTCTTTTAGATACAGTAACATATCCTGGAAATACCACCGTCTAGAACTACCGGATGTGGTAACAAATCTTTTAGCTTCCCTGCTGCTTCTTATGGAATAGTTGACCAGACCACTTCAGGACTGAAAACAGCTTCACAAATTTTAGGAGTCTAGTTAAATCCTGGAGTGGATCGGACTGCTTTTGCTCTGCTTGCAGGTAATTTTGATACATGTTCATGCACGTTCATGCTGCATAAATAGCTAGCATTTTTACTTTTCAGTAATTACAAAAAAAATATAGTTTTACTTTACATCAATTACTGATCAGTTTTTGGCTTCAAATATTTATAAATTATTATTTTATAGTCTTGTCTTAATGTTTCATATATATGCTTTTAGTGTTAGAAATATATATATATATATACATATATATCATATACTTATAGACAATAATGGTATTATTGTACCCCATGATAAAACTAATTTGTATATATGTTTATTCATTAAATTTGAAGAATTGTCTTAGCCGTGTGATATGACTTTTGTTATCAACTGCTTCCGGTTTATATCAACTGCTATTATCGCATGCTTTTCTGTAACGTTATCGCATAAAAATATTAGGAATCAGGAAAATATATTATTAAAAAATGCAAAAAAATACAATAAATGCATTTTTCAAAGTTTTAAATAGTTCTTGTCTGTATGTCCTCTGCTGACATGGTCAGGCTCTCGGGCTGATATCATGACCTAGGGCTGATAAGGGGTCTGATATGAAAAATGCCATGTTATAATCTATATATATAAATCCACGCTAAGAAAACCTACAAATAATTCTACTGCCTATTTCCTCAAATTGAAAAAACACCTAAACACAATGAAACCCGTGAAATCATCGGCAGATCCAGGCAGTCGGAATCCCCTTTCAAAATGACTGGATCCTCGCCTGGAATTAAAATATCACAGGTTGTGGTCAAAGGGTGGATCTATCCTGTTTATTAAATAAATGAAAGGATAATAGATAGTACAGTCTGTTTTTTGTTAGATGTATTTCTTTTTGATTCCATCTGATGAGTTGAGGCCTTTTTTAACTGATTTTTATGGTTTGTTCTTATATTGGAATATTCTACCAAAGCCCTGCTAACATGTTTAACCCTCATTCTGTATGAGCCTGTCCCAAGTCAGGAGCCTGTAATTCAGTGGTTTTCGTTGGTTGCTGTGTTACATATTTGTTTTTCGTTCATTATTTTGTACATAAATTAGACCGTTAGTTTTCTCGTTTTGCATTTGTCATTTCGGGGCCTTTTATAGCTGACTACTAGTATATATGTATTTACGGCTTTGCTCATTGTTGAATGCCGTACGGTGACCTATAGTTGTTAATTTCTGTGTCATTTGGTCTCTTGTGGAGAGTTGTCTCATTGGCAATCATTCCACATCTTCTTTTTGTCAAGACTGCGACTTTTGTCACAAAAGCGAGACATAGCGATCATACATTGCGGCGTCCACAAATATTCACTCTGTGGTTACAGTTTTTAAAATTTTAATAACTTTCTAAAACTATCATCGATTTCTACCAAACTTTGAAGGAAGCTTGTTTATGATCATAAGATAGTATCCAGAAGTAATTAAACTTTTGTAAAAAAAATCCTGTTTATCCGTATTTACTTATTAATGGACTTAATTTTTCTGCCAGTTAACATTACATTCACTGTGTGTTAAAAGTTTTTAAAACTTGGATAGAAGCTTGTTTATAATCAAAAGCTAGTATCTAGAAGGAAATTTTATAAAAATTTATTTTCTGTTTTTCCGTATATTACTTATGTATACATGGACTTAGTTTTCTTCCAGTTAACATTACATACAGTCTGCAGTTAAAGTTTTTAAAACATTTATTAGATTCAAACCATCCTGGATTTTAACCACACTTCAGTTGGACAGAATAAAAAGATAGTATCTAGAGGAAAAAAATCAATATTTTTCCCCATTTTTGTTGAGTCTGCTACTATAACACTATTACAACAAAAGTAGGCGAGACACTGGGTTCCGCGGAACCCTTATGATTTTTTCCTATAAACTATAATATATTTTAATGATAAAAGTCACAATAATGTTTTTTTATGTACATATTATATGATTTCACATTGACAAATACAGAGTGGTCCTAAAAATAAAGAAAACTGGAATAAAATATTCTGTTGTCTAAGGTGCTGTCATAAGCACATACTAACAAGCCGCTTTTGTTGTAAATAGATAAATAGTGCATCCTTTTATTAATAGAAGAAAAGTCAATAAAAGATGAAGACGAAAAAAATGAAGTAATCATCACTGACTCAAGAGTAACAGAAGTTAAGAACTATCGAACAGTAGAAATACAACGACCTGGTGACACGTTCAAAGGATCATTGCAGTTAGAATGCAAATTACCTGTCATCAATTCGTTAATATTGTACAAAAATATGTGCACAACAGATGAACATATAAATTTAAGGTCTTTTTTTTAAATGTTGCCATTTTATAATCATATATGCCTACTATGATCCCTATTTAAACATGTGCATGGCTGTTATTAATACGCGTTAGTTAGTAAACAAAACTGTATTGACCTTTTAATTTTAGAATAATAGAGTTCAAATATATCAATATTCATGTTATAACTTATTGTCATTTTGACGTAAATGTTTTTAAACCAATGGCAAGATACGATTTATTTTTCAATAACCTCTGATATTTACTCAATTGATATGGTAAAGTTCCAACAGATTCGAATAAGATCTTCCCAGCATATTATCATTGGTTTCCCTCCCCCTGACTTATATTCCCCTGAAAATGTAAACAGAAAGTTATTTTCTCGTCATTATTTTTCCTCTAAATAATCATAACTGGTAAGTTAAAGTGCTTCTTCAAATAACATCCATTTTGGGTTTTATTTTGATTATAAGAGAAAATACTTTGATAGGTATGAAACAGTACAATGTTAAGCAAACATGGTAAAAATATCGGGGAAATATTAACAGATACATGTAGATCAATGATATATAGTGTACAATATATGCCTCTGTTAAAATAATGTCTGATTCTGGTAAGCCCATTTAATAGAAAATAAATATCTTCTTCATCATTAAAATTTTATACATTTAAATCATTTAAAACTCTCGTGTAGAAACTGTAGTCCGTATTGGATACACCATGTTATCACTATTTGGAAATCTGTCCCGGTTGACCCGAGAATCTGCCCCGCTTGAACTATTCAGTTGGAAAGCAAGTCCTTGGAAACGTCCGTTGTCGTCATGTTCTATCAGCAACAATAGCAGGGGGAATTAATTAGGTGGCGCTACAGTCGGCCGTGACTTCAAAAAGTCCGCCAAATCAATCCGCTAAAAGATTGACGTTTAAAGTATTTATTTTCTTGTCATGCTTTTATTATAATTTAATTTTAAAATTTGTAGGTTTTGCGACCAATATAGATTCAATACGTCATACAAACATTATCAAAAATAGCTTGTTATTGCTATTTCTTTATCCTGTACGTTCTAAAAAATTTCAGCCATCTTTTTTGTTTGTCAAAAACATCGATTTTTCATAACTTGACGTTTGCGTATCCAAATACGGAAGAGAACGGTAATTATCTTAAATGAAACCGGGTAAACTATTTTAAATTTCTACACAATTTTGAAGCCATCATTTTTTACTATTATACATCAATTTTGGTGACCACCAGTCATGTCAATTTGTACCTGGTTCTGGCTGCGTTTCTACTTCAAAACAGTAAAGTTCAACTTCTTTTAATTGTACCTGTTTCCAAAGTACTCTAAAATACTGATTTTTATTATAGATATGAATGAAATTGTGATTAAAAATTGTTGTTTTTCACAATTTCATACGATACCTCCATTTTAAAGTAATTAAAACCCTTTTTGATCCCCTACACAAATTGACGGTGACATTGTTTTCTTTTTCAACATACGTCATATAACGTTTACAAAATATGTGTCAGGGTCATGTGCATAGTAAAAATTTACACATTGGACAAGTGAAACAACAAACAAAGTTCTTCTTTATGGCGTTTGAAACTATAGTATAGGTCTAAGAAAATTTCATTTATACTGGAAGCAAACATGACAAATTAATGATGGCCTATGGATAAACAAAAGCACAAAAATAGCAATAGAAAATGCATTGCAAAGAAAATTTCTGGAGGAAAAAACATGAAAAAAGGAAATGAAGGTCAGTTAATTATATTTATATTTTATAAGTTAAAAACCTTGCTTATTAATTATCTCTTTACTAAGTAAGCTACATTAATAAGAGCAAACACTAGCTTTTCAAGTCAAACAAGAAATTAATTCATAGAGATGTGTTCTTACAAAATTGAATTTATTCAAATGGCAAATTCTTGTCAAGTTTAATCATCATTGATCATTATTAAAGTAAAATGCACAAGATTTGTCATACCAACTTTCATTTCTGAGATTAATATCCAATTATTCAGATAAATATTCAATGCTTTGTTTATAAATATGTAAAGCAGCAGATTATGAGATACAGCAACCTGAAGAGAAGAAGCCCCATTTTTTTTCAAAGAGTTTACTTTCATAATCTATAAAATACCCTGAGAAATTGGACAAAGGCTACTGTGCTAGCTAATCTAATAGTTGAATTTTACAATAATAATGATTTTAAAATTCAAAATTATGTCACTTTCACTTATAATTTTAAGTATTTTTTTTTAACGAAATTTTTGTCATTTTTTTGGTAAACTTTTCCTTTTTCTGTAGGATATTTTCTAGGCTGTACTGTACTGTTCAACTAAGAAACATAGGCTTGAGTTAAAAGGCTTTTTTACTTTGAAGAAACTAAATTTTGACTCTTGGTCCCACTTTATTAAAATATAAAATATAAATGGTCAGTACTATTTTTTTTTTCAGAAAGATTATTTAAATTGTATACAGTATGTTTTATTGCATTAAACATTGTTAGAAGTAGTTAAAAAAAATTCATTAGGAGTGGTCCCATATCCCATTATAAAAATTGCAAACTGAAAGTAAATTTCACCAGCCAGAGCTAATTTATACAGTATCAGTTTAACAGCTAGGTTTCTAGATCTAATTTTTACCATTTTTTTTGTCTTTTAATTTTTACCTGTAATCCTTCTCTGAAAAGTAGGGAAGTATCTCTTCTTAATATTATAATAACATAGTTGTTAATCGACTTTCTTTTATTTTCTTCTTGATTTTTGTAAAAATAAACTCCTTTTTATTCATTTTGGTGGTTTTTTATTTTTGACTGGTGATATCAAGGGGAGATAACCACTTGCACAAATCAGCAAAAAAACCACCGCTTCGTGTTGAACATAACTTGACGTTTGCGTATCCAAAACTGTATTGCCTAGATATTCATATCGAGTGTTTGTCTTAATGAGATGCTTTATTAAATTTAAATTCAGCCCATCATTTTTAGTTTCCTCGAAAATATTTAGATTTTTCGATCAGGAGCCTTGACAATTTTCACACAAACTTCAAGTTTGAAGATAAAATAAAGAATAAAGGACTTTGAGTTGATGTGTAAGTTTTGACGATATAAAACTATGTATATTCAAGATTATTTTGATCAATAAGTTTTTACCATGACAGTGGTATTTTAGTGAGTAAAAGTGAGGTTTGTCTCATCCGTAGTTTTACTGAATTTTCACGGTCACGTGACTCTATTGTTGCTGATAGACTTGGGGTCAAACCGTGACCTGCTTTCCAACTGTATTGACATCATACAACAATCACTTTTCCATTGTGGCGTCAGATATTTTGTATTATGAGGTCAAAATTTTACGGGAACCTTTGTGATGTCCAGTAATGGCTGACAAATAGCGATAAGGTGTATTAAAGCTACATTAATTGTGTACATGGCAGATAAAAGCTCAATAGAGCTTACTTATGTACTTTTTGTATACTATGTCGACTCTAAGTAAAGTTTATTTATTTGTTGTATTTATACATGATTAATGTTTGCTCTGATGCCTTTTTGAGTTTTATGTATCAATCAGAATCTTCATAGATCTTTTTATTGTAATATGTCATTGACCTAATCAATATAAAATGTTGTTTTTACCAAGGATTTATATACTATATAAATCATTGCTTTTACAAAGTTGTTATTTTGAAGAATATGGACATGTCAGATGAATATTTATTTCTTCTTATTTATCACGTTTATCATGTTTATATGATAAATGCAAATTAAAGACCGAACAGCCTATTCAGTTCTACCAGTGATTTTTCCTTAAAATTTTGTGTGAAGGTATTTCATGATTTGAGGAACAAAATATGATAAAAAAAAGTCGGGGGTCACCGACTTAGTTTTGTCACTATAGCCAGAGACATATATATGTCTCTGCTATAGCAACCCCAGTTTCGTGTTTTCCCGAATATTAACATGATATTTGCTTGTTATTTAAACTCTCAAAAAAATCCCATTATATCAAACCTACAAGCATAATTCTTGTTTCATATTAAACAGTAGATTTGTGTCTATCAAATACAGGTTCAAGGGTTTAAGGCTCTTATTGTTTTGATCTTAAGAAATATGATTTATTTCATTCCCGCCAAAAATGAAACGCAAGAATGAAAAACGTTTCAAGAATTAAAAAATATCTACCAGCGATTTTTTCATAAAAATTTCAAGAAGGAAATATCCATGTGTACTCTTCAAAATAAAGCAAAAAAATGTATATGTCACCGACCTTTCAAAAAAGTTATGATTAATTTTCATGTTTTTTTCTCGTTCGTTTTGAAGAAAAGAGTTGTCTTTCTTCAGAACATTGAATCTGACGTCATAGACAAAGTTTTCCTTGCTGGCGTACTGTTTGAAAAAAAATGCAAATTGGACGTTTGAAACCCACATTTAAATTTTCAAGAATCAAGAATAACAACTATATTCACCTACTTTAATATTATCCGGTAATACAAGAGATCACATGTATGTATCAGTATCAGATCTCATGATGTTGTTGCCGCACAAAATTAACCTTCAGAAACACCATCCGTCGGAATGAAAAATTGTTCGATATAACCTTTTACGACGCTTTAGAAAGGAAAGTTCGTTTTTGTCCTCTCCCTCTCATTAGCAAAATCATTGAAAATAAAAAGAGATATGAAAGATGACACTGGCTAACTTACAGACTATTTGACTATATTAGACTAGATGTGTGGGTTTTTTTGTCACGTCAATTTTGAACAGAACTTTGCCCTAGCTCACTCTTTCGCTACTGTTGACAGACGGACAGACATTAGAACGGACGGACTTCTTTATACCATTATGTGTCCCGACTAAGACGAGCGTATACAAATTATTCCATCTAGTTTGTGGATTCATTATTTCTGAATATTTAAAATATAAGAAAATTAAAATTATAGGTATAATATACGAATTAAAGTTTTTGATTCTAAAACGTTTTACATCCATTCAACCTATCTTAAAATACGATCCCCGTTATTACTACCTACTAGACTCAAGCTGGCAGCCACTTTTAGCAGCCAATCAAGATAGCAGCCACTTTTTTCCAGCAGCCAATTTTGATGATATCTCTAAAAACCCAAAAACTATAACAGACTTGAATGTTCCAAAAATCTCAAAATCTAAGTTAAATGTAATTTAAGAGCGGAATTCGACAATTTCATGGCTTGTAGTGATTTACTACTTCACGTGTTTTGAATAAACGAGACAGTAAATATAAAATACAAATAAGTTTTTAATTCAAAAATTGGTTTAGAATCTAAGAAATAATTTTCCGTTGAAAACTATAAAGTATTTCTCAAAACAGGATGAAATATTATGAATCTAAATAGCTCATTTTGGAAATTAAAACAACGACAAGGTTGTATGTATAGAT